GCCGGGGAACCATGAACACGATGACAAGGAGGAGGAGGAGGATGAGGACGAGAAGGACACACATGAATATGAATAGACGAAGGATGGCTGCGATGGCGAGGATGAGCAGGAGGAGGAAGAGGAAGATTAGCAGGTGGATAACGACGACGACGAGAAGGAGGAGGAGGAGCAATCATACACGAACGACCAGGAGGTCGAACGAAGACCTCCCTGACGACCCCTCCTTGCGGTGCCTTTGTGCCGCGCTCGCCATGTCGCGGCGATCTTGAGGCCCTCAAGAGAGAGAGGTGCTGGAGGCGCCGACACAGGCAAACCGCCTAAGACATCCCCGCGTTCTGCTAACGGCTCCTCTGTGCGATACCATATTCCCACGCCCACTATATCGCGCTCCGTGCGGCCCGGTACCCCACCCCCACAATATCGCGCTGCTCATGGGGCGCGCCGAAACAGACATCTGGACACGAACTGGGGGTGGCGGCTCCTCTTTGGGGTGCCCAGGTGTTACATTTGTTGCTTCGTTTTGCTATTTAGCTTCCAATAGGAACGATTCAGGGCAACCAAACGCGCAGACCGCTTGAGACATCCCTACAAGCTGGGCGCAAGTGGAGGAATGTTACCCCCCCCCCCCTGGCGACCCCCCCATGGGGTGCCCAAATTTTGCGCCTGCTGTATGGCGGCGAGCATAGGCACCCATGCGCCTGAGCAACGAACCACGCCAGCCGCCCCAGACGACCCAACACCAGGTGCGAACGGAGATGTGAAGCCATCACTGGCGGCTCTTGTTTGGGGTGCCCAAGTGCCAGGCTGGTTTTACCGAGGTGATCACGGGGTCTTGAACAAGATGTCAGCAGCAACTAATTTCGCAACCCGCTTGAGACCTCCACACATCCTAGGCGGGAGCGGAGAAGTGAAACCACCCCTGGCGGCCCCTCCTTGGGGTGCGCGAGTGCCACGTCTCCTGCACCTCGGCGAACGAGGCCCTCCAAAAGTGGGTGGTCCGTGGGCAGCCGAGTTTGCAGGCACACCGCCCGAGATACCCCTCCAAGCAGGGTTCGAACGGCGGTTGGCGGCTTCTCCTTGGGGTGCCCAGGTGCCACGCCAGCAATAGTGCTGCGTTCACGGGGCTATCAACAGGGATGAGTCTGAGCAGCGGATCGCGCCAGCCGCCTCAGACGACCCCGCACTGTGGGCGCGAGCGGAGACATGAAACCACCCCTGGCGGCTTCTTCTTGGGGCACCCCAGTGCCGCGCGTCCATACCGCGGTGATCACTGGGCTCTCAAGAGGTATGAGTCCCAGCGACCAAACACGCAAACCGCCTGAGACATTCCCACAATCTGTGCGCGCACGGAGAAATTAAACCACCCCTGGAGGCTTCTTCCTGGTCTGCCCAAGTGCGATGCCTAATATATCGCGGTGATCACTTGACCTTCAAAGACATGCGTCTGAGTAACCCAACGCGCACACCGCCAGAAGTATTCCCACATTCTGGGCGGGGACGGGGAAATGAACCCACCCCTGGTGGCTCATCCGCGGGATGTTCAAATGTCACGCTGGCTATATCGCGGTAAGTCTCAATGCGGGTGAGTCTGAGCGTGGACGAGTCTCCGTGCGAGTGAGTCTGAATTGTGCTCTGTGTGGGAAGGCGTTTGTGTGTGAGTGGTTCTGAGTGCGACTGAGTCTGAGCGTGGGCGTGAATGAGTCTGAGCGTGGATGCGTCCACGTGACGATTAGTCTGAGCGTCAGCGATCGGAAGCATGAGTGATTGCGTGTGACGTGGGAGGAAGGAAGCGGGAGTGAGGCGGAGCCGTCACACTAAGAACAACCCATACATTCGAGCATATTGTTCTTAGGAACAGTCACCGAACGGATCGTGGTCTGGAGAGCGTTGCTACCAGGCGCGCCCGCCCGGCGCCGCGGCGAGGCCCGCCCGTCGGAGGCGCTGGAGATGCTGAGGGACCGCGCCGCCCACGAGGGGGAGGAGGAGGGAGAGGAACGGTGTCTTTGGTCTGGTACGGTTGTTCGTTCGATGATCCGCCCTTCCCCTAGACCTGATGAGCGCATACTCCATGCCCTCGCGGGCTTTCTACACGTCTAGTGTTTATCGTTGTTTGTCTTACTTGCTGCGCTCACTAATGTTTACGTTGTTAGCTGCAGCGCCTAGATCGGTCCACACAGGCGCAGCGATCACCTGATCAATGTCCGTTCAACGCAAAAGCAGCGGATTCAGGGCAACGACGAGAGGGGGGTTGTTCAGGGGGGGCGCATCGGACCCCAATCGCCCACTCATCGCCGACATGGCCCTTCATACGGGGTGTTTTTGTTCCCTGGAGGTCCCGCGCGGAACGTATCCGTACGACCGCGTGTTCACGCGATCGCGGCCCGGAAGCCAGGCCGCGAGGGCGTGAATGTGGATACGTGCGCCGTTCGTGCGGGAGGGATGGGAGCGGCCCTGCCCTGCGAGCGCGGCGCCAGGAGGTCGAGGCGTGCGTCAACGCGAGGCGCCCCCCGCTCTCCTGGCCCTGCCGGCGCCCTCGGCCCGCAGAATGCGCGAGGGCCGACGGGGCCGTCGGGGGGTGCTCGGCCTCGGACTGCTGCGTGGAGGGTGCTCCGCCCAGGGGTTCGAGGCGTTCGTCTGTCCTCAAGGGGGTTCCAGCCTCCGGATGCCCACCGGGGTCCGCCGATCGCTGAAGGTGATGCGGCCTTCGCGCTCGGGCTGGGCACCCATCCCCCCTGTGGGCCCCGTGCCCCCCCGAAAGCACGCGCGGAAGGCCACGGACCTTCAGACCTGGGCGTCGCAGCAGAAGTGGCGACGGCCGTTTGTGCCACATTTTTGGCCTGTGCATGGCCTGCACCAGGACCGTCGGAAAACGACCCGGGAAAAGAAACGCTGAGCCAACGGGGTGGAGATCCCCTGGGGCCCACGTCACGAAGCAGTGTGACGTCGGAGGAGAGGGGATGATGCGGCTAGTTATGCGCCGCCATCCCTCGCCAGGTCATCTGGGGTCCTGGGACCTCAGTTGGTGCATAGGCCCTCCTGGACTCGACCAAGGAGATCTACCCACCATCCTGGGGCCCAGGATGGCCTCTGGCACAGCCTCGCTGCGTGCGCGTGTCGCCGACGGGTGGGGAGGCTCCGCCGGCCTCCTTCAGGGAGGCCAGGGGCCAGGAGCGGGTCTGAAGTCCTCTCCTTCCTCGCACTGCTGCTCTGCCTCCTCCGTCTCCGTCTCCTCCTCGTTCCTACCCCGCTGCCGTTAGGGTCTGGGAAGTCGGTCGGGCTGTCAATGTTTACGGTGCCCCCCTCCCCAAGGCGAGACCACTCTTCTTTTTCCTCCTTCTCTGCTCCTCCTCCTCCCTCCTCCCCTGCGCAGTTGTATTCTTGCCCGCGACGCGGTGCCACCACCTAATCAGCTCATCGCACGTCGGATCGTCCCGCGGGACGAGCAGGCGCAGTGTCCAGTGCACAGAGCGCTCCCCGTCCGCACCCCCACAGCTGGCGTAGTTGCGAAGGCAGGGGTGAATCGGACGCGCCCGTCCAGAAGGCTTCAGGCTTCGATTGACTTCGAAGTCGAGGCCAGCCAGATGTTCTACGACGAACCCGCAGACCGGAACTCGCACGAGAGGTAATTGCGGAGCAGGCTCGGCACGCTGAACAGATTGCGCCAAGCGCAATGGCCTGACCTGGTGGCTTCAGCTGCTCTGGACCGTAGCTTTCTCTGGCAACGTTTCTCAGAGAGTCTGAGAGGCAGTCGACGAAGTGCTGGGGGAGTGTGGGGGGGGTCTTGCCGTGGGCACTTGTGTGCAACAAGTCTAAACTCGACAAGTCCCGTCTCATGCGTGTTGGGGCGAGGTTGGAATCACTGAAAGCCAGGTCTTCAGAAACCTCAACCGACTGGAAAAACTCAGCCTGCAGGCTGTCTAATGGAGCTAGTATTGCATCAGTTGCGTGGAATATTGCCCGGGTGGCGCCGTCGACTAAAGAGACAACGTGTCATGTTTGCAGATGTCGGCCGTGATATAGAACGTGCTTGACCATAGCAGCGCGCGAAGCCGCCAAGATGGTTCGCGTTTAAATTCTTGCACAGCGCGGTAAATGGTCAATTTCAGATCGAAAAGCACGTTGAGGATTTTGAAGTCGTCTCCGTGCGGCTTGCACTTGTCCGGCATGTACACGTTTTCTTTGGTCGCCTCGAAGCCACTTGACTGGCTGCGCCCCAATCGTGACGCGTAGTATGGCAATGGTGTCACCATCACGAGCTCGACGAGGATCGACAAGTTTGTGGTTACACCATCCAACTCTTTCCTACAACAGAGGTCGTCAGCAAAAGCGCGCTGTGCGAAGCCGGCTGAGGACTCAACATTTTCGGCATTACCATAGATTGCGTTCCAGTACGGCGGACCCAGAGCCGTGCCCTGGAACTCTATGTCAAACAACAAAATGACTGCGAGAGAAACGCACCTACACTGGCATTCGCCTGTCTCCCCGAAAGCCGCGACCGAATAGCCTTCAAACGAGGCTCGTGCACCCCAGCCGTGCGCAATTTGGCCAAGAGGCGGTCGGAGTTGGCCTTGCCAAATGCTCCAGCAACGTCCGGACAGTACACCCTCAAGCGCCAGCCATTGCAGATTGCGCGCGTCCAGCAACACACCATTTAGGCCAAAACGTCTAGATATGGTCGAGGGTTTGGGCCCCCCCCAATGTTAATGCCATCGGCCCCACCCCCTCCGCGCGATGCCCCCCCCCCCCTGCGGGCGTGGGCGTGGCGTGGTGGCTCCCCCCCCCCTCCTGTGGATGTGTGTGGGTGTGGTGTGTTGCTGTGGGTGTGTGCGGGGTGGGTGACCTTATGGTCCTCCTCCCCCCCTCCCTCCCCCTCTGTGGGTGCAGTGTGGGTGCGGCATGTTGCTGGGGTTGGCGTCATGTTGACAGCTCCGTTGCTCGACGTCCTCCTCCTCCTCCTCCTCCTCCTCCCTCCTCCTCCGCCTCCTCCTCCTCCTCCTCCTCCTCCTCCTCTCCTCCTCCTCCTTCCTCCTCTTCCTCTCCTCCTCCTCCTCCTCCCCCCCATCCCATTTGGGGGGTGGGGGAGGGGGCCGAGGACACTGGGACCCATCCCATCTGGGGGGGGGGGGGGGGGCCCGTGGGCCCTGAGCCTCCCCTCCCAACGGATATGCCATCCCCCCCCTCTCCCGCCCCAATGGGTCCTTCAGCCCTCCCCCCCATGTGGATTTGGTGTGGGTGTGGTGTGTTGCTGTGGGTGTATGCGGGGTGACGCCATGGTTCTCTTCCCCCCCTCCCTCCCCCCCTGTGGGTGCGGTGTGGGTGTGGCGTGTGGCTGTGATTGGCGTCATGTTGACAGCTCCGGTGCTCGACGTCGTCGCCGCCGCCGCTGGTGAAGCCGTCGACGTCGTCGTCGTTGTCGTCGTCGTCGTCGTCGTCATTGTCGTCGTTGCCGGTGTCGTCGTCGTCGTCGTCGTCGCCGTCGTCGTTGTCGGTGTCGTCATCGTCGTCGCCGTCGTCGTCGTCGCCGTCGTCGTCGGCGTCGTCGTCGTCGTCGTCGTCGCCCCCCCCCATCCCATCTGGGGGGGAAGGGGGGGGGGACTTGTGAAACCCTGAGACCTGCCTGGGGGGGGGGGCTTGTGAACCCTGGACCCAGGATCCTATATCCCTGGTTCGTGTGATAAATGAACTGGGGCTCTACTGGATTCGAGAAATGGGAGCGGCACGCTAGCGAATCATCGAGCGACTACTTTGCTGTGGTGGGATGTGTGGTGGATTCCACGGTAATTTGTGGGAGGATTGGAGCGACACATTCTCTTGAACAACGGGAGCAACCAGTGAACATTCCACGATTCGGGTCATTCGTCGCTATACAAAATCAAGCGTGCAAGCATGGCAATCGGAATCGGAAACTGCGGAGCGCATTTCTTCATAATCGCGCATGATAGTCCATCGGGGCAAGTGCCGCTATCTTCCCGCAGCCTACGCAACATCGAATGACATCGTATCGGCATCAAGTTGATCATCCAGGAGGCGTTCGGCGTATGCGTGGACGAGCATGTGTTGTCGAAACTTCGGTCTTTTTCGCATCTGTCACAGACAGTGTATGCGAGCACATCGGCCTTTGCACGAGCAGACAAAGCCCACGATCCCCTCTTCGACTGTACCGGAGGAGTGCCGACTGACCTTTCCGGCACGGAAGAGTAAAGCATCACACGCTACCAACAACTTGTTGCACGATGGCCACATGTCCAGCATGTGTTGCCAAGTGCGTTGGACGTACGTGCCTAGTGGAATGAAGGCTGGTGCCAACAGAACACACGTTCCGTCGATGTTTGAAGTGTTGGGCGCCATGTGCTTCAATGTATTTCCTGAACAACTCCACGCATGTTTCGGTAATCCACGGGTGGGTGGATTTTCAGGCGACCGTGTCGAAAGTGTTGACTGTACATGCTAATCTGTAGCCCCTTGGTCCAAGTAAAAACCATCGACATGGTAGCGGAGCGGCGTGGGTTCATTCCCGCTGCCGCTTCCCTTCCAGCCACCCGCGGCGGGCGCGCGCGCCCGCGATAGGGCGGCGGCGGAGGCCGCGCCCTGGCGGCTGGCAGCGGCGAGGGCCGCGCCAGCCGACCCTTCATAGCCCAGCACGCCGCCTAAGAAGAAGAAGAAGACTAAGCGTGGCTCGAGGTCGAACAAAGCAGACATCTTGAGGAGTAGGAAGTTCGACGAGAAGCTCGATCTGAAGTATGGAGGAGATCGAGAGACGCTTCCAGGCGCTCGAGGGAGCGTTGCAGGCTGCAGAACAACGGGTGCAGGCTGCAGAGGAGCGCGCCCTGGCGGCGGAGTCAGCAGCAGCGAGCGCAGGCGCCGCCGTGAACAGGCCCGTGGCAGCGGCGAGGGCCGCGCCTCAGGACCTGGTGGACACTCGGCTTCTGGCGAAGCCGAAGGCGTTCGGAGGCAGCGAGGACGAGTGGCCAGGGTGGAGCTTCAAGATGCTCGCGTACCTCGGGGCCCTCGACGAGCAGATGGCCAACGAGCTGACAGCAGCCATGACGTTCCCGCTGGAGGAAGTGAGGAACGCGAGACTCCTGGAGGAGGGAGCGAGTCAGCGCAGTCGCCAGCTGTACTTCATCCTCGTCCTGCTGCTGGAAGGAGCCGCACTGCAGCTCATCAAGCCAGTCGGCGTCGGAGAAGGTTATCGGGCGTGGAGGACGTTGCAAGACATGTACGAGCCCGACAGACCAGGTCGCCATGCAGGACTGCTGCAAGAGCTGATCGCGTTCCAGTTCCCAGAGGACAACATCGTGGGGATGCTGGCGGACTTCGACTTCAAAGTCACGAAGTACGAGAGCCAGAGCCACGAGAGGATTGGGGACAGGATCAAGATGGCGATCCTCCAGAGGGGGATTCAGGACGAGGCTCTTCGAGCGCATCTGGTCCACAATGCGTCGAGGCTAGTCACGTGGGAGCTCATGCGCAACGAAGTGCACATGGTGATCTCGACGA